CACGACCATCATCACCGACAAGCACAAGGGCTCGGAGTCTGCCGTTCCCAGGGTGCTCTGCAACTCGCAGAACATTTCAAGTGCGCGGAACACATTCTGAAGAATGCGGGGACTACCGGACCGGTAAGACGGAATTTCAGGGGTGGTTGGGTGTGCTGGTCGTTACTTGATTTGCAGTTGCTGCCAATCTTAAAAACCCAACCTCGCCAAATTGTCCAATAAAAGTTCGCTCTCTGCGCGTGCTGGTTGAGCGTGTGTGTTGAACTTTGTCGAAGAGTTGCGCATCGGAGGGCGGAATTGCAGCAGTGCACCGGAATAGCAGCAGTGCACCGGCACACCAGCTCACTGTTTGTACCACCCCCGTCGCCCCGATTCGCCTGCCATGTTCTGTCTGTCATTACCGTAGATATGTTACGCCCAAACCATGTACCAAGTTGCTGGCCCTTACGTTCTGTCCCGTACTTGCTGACCCTTCGTCTCTGCGCAGCAAGGCCGCGTGTTCATGTACGAGGCGGCACGGGCGACAGACAAGGCAACGTGCGAGGCCAACATCGACAAGATCGCGGCCCTCAACCCAGCTGCCGGGAAGTATATCCGCCTGCAAACCCGCCACGAGTGGGCGATGTACGCTACCCGCGGCAACGTCGTCCAAGACCAGGTCACGTCCAACATGTCGGAGACGGCCAACAACATGATGGGACCGGATGTACGTTTGTTGTGCCTTTGTTTTTAGTTCCGTCATNCGTATCATTCTTTCATTTAGTCAGGGAAGTTTCGCGAAACACTCTGTTCCCGGTACTGTCTACGACGTGCCGTTCTGAAACATGTTGCACCCCTCCCGCCCCAAACTTATCGCATGCTCAATGATTTGTGCAGGCACACACGACGAAGTTTATGGTGTATCAATTGAAGTACGTGTCACTGGCTGACGCCCGGCGATCGAGCCGGGTGAGCTTGTTCGGAGCGGCCCCAGTACCAGAGAAGTTTGGGAGTTTCGATGACACCGAGAAGTACTGCGGTGCGGTGCCCTCGGACCACTACCTGCGGGACGTGTGGCGCACGTACTTCTCAGAACTTCCTGTGCTGGAGGTGGAAGGCGTGAAGTGGACGCGGGAGGACTATTTGCCCCGCGTGCACCAGCGCTGCGACGGAACCGTACTCGCTGGAGATGCTTCGTTCAAGTTTGCGAAGATCATTCGGCTAGGGGCAACAGCGCACGGAGAGCGCACCCGCCCCGTGCACGGCATTTTCACAGTCTTCAACGAATACGAGCAGGTCCAGTAGCATGCGCCTCTCGCCGTCCGTAGATATGTTTCGTTCGTACTTTGAGCTTGTTTCCCCTGTGGTGTTTTCGTCGTAGGGGTGTTTGCGTGTTAGTCCTTAGGCCTTGTGCCGTGTTGCCGTGTGGTGTGTGCGAAATTGGTTCCACCTGGGTTCTCTCATGGAGCTTGAGCCGTGGTCCGATTTTCCACTCGCTGTGTTTCCTTCTTGCATGCCTCTTGCCAGGTTTCGGCGCGCACAGAGCGAACTGAAATACATTTAAGCACGGAAGAAAAGGGTGTTCCCGCCCTGCCTTTGCAATGTCTGCCGTGGCTCATACACTGAAAGCTGAATTTTACTTGTATAGACTATACGTAAAACGGGCATGGGGTTCCTGGTGTTCTTGTTATATTAAACCGCCCAGCAATATGATGCAGGGAGGAACCGATTAGACTATTCTGTGGTAGAAGCTTGCACCTGAAGCGTGCGATACAGCAGTAGCGGTTACGCGTCATGGTTTCGGCGAGTCATATGTATTATGATGTTGATACCGTTTTTTTTTCTCTTTATCTTTGGGCGAGAGTTCATGACTAACAGTTTCAAGAAGACGTCACGTTCTGATGGCGAGCACGAAGAATACTCTTTTCCTGTAGAAAATAACACATGTTGTTGTTCTGAAGCTGCACACGCGAGACAGAGAAAAGCTGCCATGTTTCGCGCAGACTGCAATTTTGCAGGCGTGTACAGCAACAAACTACAGTTTCCTTCGCGTAAACGGTGGTTTACTCGCTAATTTACCGCCAATAGGTGGTGATGGCCCTCCCATCGTGAAGAAAAATCGGGAAAAAAAAGGAATGTGCAAACAAAGTTTGGCGCTGATGGGGATTGAACCCATAACCTCGGCCACTGAATAACCACACATGGATTCCTGCTGTCAAACTTTAAGACAATGAAAGGACGCGTCATTCGAATACGCCTCTTCGTATTTTTTTCGCGCTTCGCGCGAAATAAGTATAACTCGTTCCCGGGTTGCCCTACCCATGGTCGCTGAGCCGCTCTCTGGGCATCGATCGACAGAGTGCACACAGCACAGAGCGGCGGGAGAAGAGGGTAGGGAGGAGAGCGAGCCGAGAGTGATGATGAGGATGGCGTGGTGTACCTCCATTGGGACTAAGGTGTAGCCTCTCTGTGGAAGTCTCGTCCGAGCATGGGCAATCCTCCACAACTCCAAGTAAGTGCCAAACGGCATTTTTCTACACACATCCCGAACGGCATGGTCTACTGCTGCTGTACATATGCCATGCCTTCCCTCATGCACTCATGCATCTCAATCCGTCTCACACGTTTGGACACATGAGCGTGTTCCATGGACTCCACGTGTGGATGTGAGTTTTGTTACTCCTCTTTCGGTGTCAGCGTCCACCGCTTTGTACGCTAGGCATCATGCCCGATTATGACACAAGATAACACACCCTCTGCACCGATTTTCAAAGCTCGATTTTTCAACAGCAGCAACAGCCGCACGACCGAAAACGGCGGTGTTGAAACCATCTGTTCGAGAGCTCTCTGGAAACGTATACTTACATCTATGCATCCTCTTCGTCGTGGAGTAATCGAGCTTTGAAAATCGGTCCAGGGGGTGTGTTATATTGTGTCATACTGTGCTTCTGTAAAGTGTGTCGGATAGTGTCGAATTTGGAACATGTTTATGACAACGGAAGGGACGGCCGGGCACTGAGAGAAAGGTAGGAAAAGGCAAAACCTACAGCAGAAGGAGGCCAAACCATTAGTATTTTCGATTGTGGAACAGCCTGTGACAATGCTGTAAAAGAAGCGAGCCTCTCTGCTGTGCGTCTACAGCATGACCGTCTTGTGTAGACTTGGACTACATACACAAGACTGTCACCGGCCGGGGAGCAAGGTTCACTCTACACGGATCAGCCGAACTGTAGTGAAGTTATCGTTTATCATAGGTGTTCTTGACAAAGTAAATTAAGAGGAGTACGTGAACAAGTGGATACTGCAGCTGACATAAGATATCGCACCCCCTAGAACCGACTTCCAAAGCTGCATGAATCCGCGACGAAGAGAACGTAAAGAGTAAATAAACAATACTCTGTGTGTTCGGACATTTCTCGGCGATACCGATCGTTCTCTTGAAGTGTCGCCAATTTCGGCACCGCCAGTGTTTCTACATGGATTAACCGAGCTTTAGAAGTCGGTTTAAGGGATGTGATATCTTATGTCAGCTACAGTACCCATGTTTGCCCATAAACTTCCCATGATTGTTTCGTCAACAGCAGTACATGGGAAATGAAAAAGTCTCTAAGATGCATGAACTATCTTTGCTTTTCGGCTGATCCATTCTACGCCTGAACAACGGCAATACGGCAGTTACATGCAAACGTGGTAACCTGATGTTTTCTGGGAACTAGACAAAAGCGAGTTTACCCACCCCCTTTCCCCCCCCTCCGGTGTTTACCATCGGGGTTGGGTTTTCGTCGCTTGGCAACGACGTTGTAAAACAAGCCGCCCC